ACATGTTATGATTATAATCCCACACCATTTATTATAATAAAAATGGTGTGGGATTATAATCATAACATGTACTAGCGAATTGATTTGGTATTGTAAAATGATTTTTTTTATATGTTGCACACCGGGTGAAGAATCCTCCTGTTATCAAAAAAGTAAGGATTCCCATAGAAAACTTTTTTTAACCAATTAAATTAATACAACAGAATCACGAGACTAAGGGTTTAACGGATTGGCATGTGGCACCAAATTGAAGAATTTGACATACATACCAAATTTTTTTTACCATGTCAAGAACTTTAATTGCAATGAACGTTTCTCTTCTTACTGAATATCAAACATTGATAGACCGCGTATTTGCTTCCATCGCTGCAAATGCAGAAGGAAAGCCAACAGATCGGCCACCTGTTGAAATAATGAAAGATATTGTAGAATTGGACAAAAAAATGCAACAAGGTCTCGATCAAAGTAAGGTGGAGTAATGGTTTCTATCATTTTTTTGAAATATATGAATTACTTTATTTTTTTTTATATAGAAAGTTAACAATTATCTCTGTCCTATATAAAATTTAAAGTTGAAGAACATCAAAGAGTTCACAAAAAGATTTTACAGGTTATTAAAGAAATTGAAATTGAAAATAATGCAATAATGGAATTTGTGAATGAATTAAAAAGCGGAAAAGAACAGCTTGAAATATGTTTGGACGCAGCAAATGAAACAATTGAAGCCATAAATTTTGCCTCCGAATGTTTGTATAATAAATTAATTGAATTCTTCTTCGTATCACATAATAATCCTTTCTTTAAAAAATATTTAGCTTCTGTAACTGCAGATGAAATACTAAAGTATGCAAATAGAATCAGTAGCTATACATCAGCACCACCAAATTATGTAGCTGGAACTTTTGCTGAGCCCCCATATCCTGACGAATCACGCATGAGGAGAGGCTTTCTGTTTCGACAAGATGCTGATATGATGTTTGAAGAGGGTATGATACATTTTAATTTATTTTTTATAATGAATACAAAGATAACACGTGTCAATCCATATACGGACCTGAAAAAATACAGGATATAAAAACGATGAAGAAGACGAAGAAGAAGAGGATGGCGATGATATTCATTATGCAAAATCTAACTCATTCGGTTCTCCAGAAGCGACACAACAAGCAAAGACATTTGATTTTTATTCAACATGATTTATTACTTTTCTTGGACTTTGTCATAATAAAATTTATTCATGACTTTAATCTGTACAATTTTATTAGTTACTAGACTTTTAAAATTAAATTATACAAACTTATTAATCAAATTTGTTATATAAAATCTTTAATAAAGATAGTGGCATGTTCTCTAACATCTGGGTCAGGATTTAAATAGCTTTGGTAGAATTCGCTGACGTCTAAAAAATCATTACCAGGGTTGCCTGATGGATGGGCTATAAGTCACCCGAGCGATCCGACCAGTCGTTAGTTAATATAATAATTGATCAATTTAATATCAAATGAGTAAAAACCTGTAAATCATACTTTTTGAATATTTACTTTTAATAAAAAATATTTTAAAATTATGTAATTAGCAATTATTATTGTTGAATTGCAATATTGAGATGATTCAAATAACATTAAAATCATAGGTATTCAATTATTTTATTTTTCAAGATATTTTGATTAAAAGTAAATATTCAGAAAGCATGATTAAGAGTAGAGGCATGTAGATTATTTTTATATAGTGGTTTTTTTATTTTTTAATTAATTAATAAAAAAATTTTATAATATTATAAATAAAATTGATTATCTATTATAGTAAAATGCTGAATTATTATATTATTTTAAAAAAAAATATTTGTATATGTAATAAAGTTTACTTAGATGGGTTAAAATTTGCTTAGATATTACAAAAATGAAGAATTTGATTGGTTAATTTATATAAACCTATAAGTTAATTTTATTATATAATTTTTATATTCTAATCTTTAAAATTTATATTTTAATAAGTTTTTTTTTAAAAAAAAAATATTAAGGTGAGTATTTGTGATCCAGGATTTTATTGATAATATATTTGGCTAATAGTTGCATTACAATCACAGAAGGCAAATATAAAAAGAGTGTATAACTAGTTACTCATACAATTTTAGTCATTATCTAATTTAAATAGTCTATTTAAAGGTTCTACACTAGCTGCCATACCTGGAACCTATTTGTAGATTCTTTATTTAAACACTCTGGTTCTTATATTTACTTACTTATTTCTGTCTACTAATGATTCTAACTGATGCTAATGAAAATATAACATGATTATTAAGTCTTTAAAGCAGTTCATTTATATAGAAAACCTTTGACCTTGTATTAAACCTTTTAGAATCTTTTGTATTCTATTCTTACAATTAACTTGGTATTGCTATAACCAAAACTAATACTAGCAGTTAGGATATATTATTAAACTACTATACTCTTATAAAGTTTAACTCAATTCTGATACTAACTTTATAACATATCTTTATTACTTTGGTATTTAAATCAAGTTTTATCAAACTCCCAAATCTGATAGTTTAAAAAGATAAGTATTTTTAATTTACATAATCTTCTAATATATATTCTTTTTTTTTGAAATTTAAAAATTTTGATAGTCTGGTTAGTTTCATTTGGTCCCTTCTTAAAGACTAGTTCTTTGCTTAGTTTTATAGATTATATAAATTATTTTATAGACTAGTCTTTACAATAATATTGTTAAAAATTTGAGTTACCTTTTTACTTAGATTTTTTAAATAAGCTTCCATCTTTCTATTTGGTTCTTGTAATTTATACAGACTAAGAACTTATTATAGATTCATACTGCCTAGTATTAGTTTGTATTTTTTTTGTACAATATTGTATGAATGTTTAGACCTTTCAGTCATGTTAGTATGATACAGGTTACAGATATCTAATCTTATCAATCACAAAAAATAGTTAACTATAACACAAAAAGAATTACAAATTTTTATTATTACTAGGATTTGAACTCTAGATCTGTTATTTGTTGTTTGTTCTTTTTTTAAAATCAGCAATAGTTTTCTAAAAATTTTCAATTTTTTAAAAATTTACTTTATTTTTCAACAGAAATTATTATTATTATTTATTTTTTTTAATCTTTGGTAGTCTTGTCTATCACTTTTATTAAAAGTCTTATATATATAATTTTGTACAAAGTTGGCTTAAATTTTGACTTGACATCTCCTAGCTGCTTTATAAATTTTTAGAAATGGTCTGTTATACTGATCAGAAATTAATTTGATTAGAGAGTTATACCAAGCTAACTATTAGAGTCATAAAAAAATAGTCTTATTTTTCTTTCTATATAATCAACAACTAAATCTAACTATAAACTTTGTATTTTTTTTTTTATTTATAGTTCAGCTTTAATCTTCTTATATAACTTCTTCATATACTCTATTTATTGAACTGCTGCTTATACTACTTTTTAAACTGCATTCTTTCTTTTTCTTATCTGTAGAGCTGATTCTATTCGTCTTTTTTTAATTGGTAACTATTTTACAAGATTTTTTCTATATATTTTCAAAAAAACTATTCTATGCTGCATTTGTCTATATTGTTATAAATTCTTTAGTTTTTTTAAAAGTTTGGATAATGTTTTGTAGTGTTGTTTTAGTTTTTTTTTAAATTAGCTCCTTAATGCTTTTAGATCTACATTTTTTTTTCTCTTTTACTGAATTTTTTCATAAGATTTTTATTAATTTCAATTTGCTTGTTTTCTTATAAGTTTCTTTTAAAAACACTGTTTAGATCAAATTAATTGCTGAATTTTCTGTAATAGATCATCCTTTTCTATGATCTTTATATTAACTAAATGTTTTTAATCTTCTTCTTGGTTTTTATTATATAGAATACAAAATAGTCTTTTGTATATATTGAAATATCTTTTTGCTAAGGTCTTCAGTACTGGTAGTTTTTCATTAATATATTTGATTAGTATTATAATTTTCTATTTTTCTTTATACTTGTACATCTAATTCCACTTTGACTTCTAATTTTTTTTTATAATAATGACCAGTCATGCTTTTTTTTTTCTTTGTTTAGTTCTAATTTTTGAACATTTAATGTAAATTTCTATTCTGATTTAACTTTAAAATCTAAAATATCTTTAATAAATTGTTTTGTTAACTCTTCTATAAATGTTTTTTTTCAACAGAATAATATATTTGAACTAGGTAGTAGTGTAATAGAATTTATTTTTTTTCTTATATTAGTATATATTTATTTTTAGCTCTATATTATATTTTATAATTTTCCTA